ATATGACAGGGAAAACCCGACCAGAACAACGAAATATGACAGAGAAACCCGACCCAGAAACAACGAAAATATGACAGGGGAAAAACCCCACCAGAACAAAAGAAATATGACAGAGAACCCGACCAGAAACAACGAAAATATGGAGAGGGAAACCCGACCAGAACAACGAAATATTTACAGAGAAACCCGACCAGAACAACGAAATATGGCAGGGAAAACCCGACCAGAACAATGAAATATGGCAGGAAAACCCGACCAGAACAATGAAATATGGCAGGGAAAACCCGACCAGAACAACGAAATATGGCAGAGAAAACCCGACCAGAACAATGAAATATGACAGGAAAACCCGACCAGAACAATGAAATATGGCAGGGAAAACCCGACCAGAACAATGAAATATGACAGGGAAACCCGACCAGAACAACGAAATATGACAGGGAAACCCGACCAGAACAACGAAATATGACAGGGACACCCGACCAGAACAACGAAATATGACAGGGAACCCGACCAGAACAACGAAATATGACAGGGAAACCCGACCAGAACAATGAAATATGGCAGGGAAACCCGACCAGAACAATGAAATATGGCAGGGAAACCCGTCCAGAACAATGAAATATGACAGGGAAACCCGACAAGAACAATGAAATATGACAGGGAAACCCGTCCAGAACAATGAAATATGACAGGGAAAACCCGACCAGAACATGAAATATGCAGGGAAACCCGACCAAAACAATGAAATATGACAGGAAAACCCGACCAGATACAACGAAATATGGCAGGGAAAACCCGACCAGAACAATGAATATAGCGGAAAACCCGACCAGAACAACGAAATATGGCAGAGAAACCGACAGAACAATGAAATAAAGACAGGAAAACCCCACCGAACAGAAATATGGCAGGAAAACCGACCAGAACAATGAAATATGACAGGGAAACCCCACCAGAACAACGAAATATGGCAGAGAAAAACCCCACAGAACAATAATATGGCAGGGAAAACCCGACCAGAACATGAAATATGACAGGGAAACCCGACCAGAACAATGAAATATGACAGGGAAACCCGACCAGAACAATGAAATATGGCAGAGAAAACCCGACCAGAACAATGAAATATGACAGGGAAACCCGACCAGAACAATGAAATATGGCAGAGGGAAAAACCCCACCAAAAACAAAAGAAAAATGACAGGGAAAACCGTCTAGAACAATGAAATATGACAGGGAAACCCGACCAGAACAACGAAATATGACAGGGAAACCCGACCAGAACAACGAAATATGGAGAGAAAAACCCGACCAGAACAACGAAATATTTGGGAGAGAAAAACCGACCAGGACAACGAAATATGGCAGAGAAAACCCCACCGAGCAACGAATATGGCAGAGAAAACCGACCCGACAAAGAAATATGACAGGGGAAACCCGACCAGAACAATGAAATATGACAGGAAAACCCAGAACAACGAAATATGACAGGGAAAACCGCCAGAACAACGAAATATGACAGGGAAACCCGACCAGAACAACGAAATATGACAGGGAAAACCCCACCAGAAAAAGAAATATGACAGGGAAAAACCCGACCAGAACAACGAAATATGGCAGAGAAAACCCCTCTAGAAAAGATGAATATGACAGGGAAACCCCACCAGAACAATGAATATGCAGGGAAACCGCCAGAACAATGAAATATGGGCAGGGAAAACCCGACCAGACAATGAAATATGACAGGGAAACCGACCAGAACAATGAAAAAATGACAGGGAAAACCCGAAGAACAATGAATATGACAGGGAAAACCCGACCCGAACAATGAATATGGCAGGGAAACCGACCAGAACAATGAATATGACAGGGAAACCGACCAGGAACAATGAAAAAATGGCAGGGAAACCCCACCAGAACAAATGAAATATGACAGGGAAACCCGACCAGAAAAAATGAAATATGACAGGGAAAAAACCCACCAGAACAATGAAATTGACAGGGAACCCGACCAGAACAATGAATATGACAGGAAACCCCCCAGAACAATGAAATAGACAGGGAAACCCGTCTTTCAACGATGAAATATGACAGGGAAACCCGACCGAACAAAGAAATATGACAGGGAACCCGACCAGAACAATGAAATATGACAGGGAAACCCGACCAGAACAATGAAATATGACAGGGAAACCCGACCAGAACAACGAAATATGACAGGGAAACCCGACCAGAACAATGAAATATGACAGGGAAACCTGTACCTTCACGTACACGGGGTTAGTGCACGTCAGCGCCACCTGTGTGCCAGTGTTCGTACCTTCACGTTACCGGGGTTAGTGCACGTCAGCGCCCCCCTATGTTCCAGTGTTCGTACCTTCACGTACACGGGGTTAGTGCACGTCAGCGCCACCTGTGTGCCAGTGTTCGTACCTTCACGTACACGGGGTTAGTGCACGTCAGCGCCACCTGTGTGCCAGTGTTCGTACCTTCACGT